ATTGTAGTTAATAAAAGTAGGAATAGGACTAGAACCAAAAATATACTTGCTCTTTACGAATGATCTGCCAAAGTTTCTAAACATCATGGCAGCAACATCCGCAGATGATACAGTCATGATCACATGGTACTTGGATGCAAAAGCATCATGGAAAATTACAAAATTATATAAATAATTATTTACAAAATTGGCTAAACTCATGGAAAATCAAACCAATTAAAAGTAACGTTCATACTCAGAACAGACACTTGCTCATCTATGAAACTCAACAACAAATACATAACAAAGTAACCATGTAAATTACTTATAAGGGTTGTTCTTTTTATCGGTGGAAAAAATTCTCTAAGATATGAAAGCCACCCTTGAAAAATACACCTCAGAGCAGTTTTCTATCAATATTTTTGGTTTCACTTAATATTTATTTATGAAAAAAAATGGAAAAAGTTTGCTTCTCAAAAAAAAAACTGACTTTTATTTTGTTTCATTGAAAAATTTTAATTGAAACCAAAAATATTGGTAGAAAACTGCTCTGAGGAGTGATTTTCACACCTTAGAAAGCTTTTTTCGCCGATAAAAAACAAGCATCTTTTATGTTTCAATAAGCTATAACAAATCTAAATTGCAGTAAAATCGGAGGCAGAGGTTAGGTAACGTTCCCTTTTTAGTACATTTAGACCAGAGACTCACATGAAAGAAGTATATATTTAGAAAACGTAAAAAGCTGAGACTTTATAATAGAGAAAAATATACTGATTCATAGGAGGGAAATCGGAGCTTACAATCGAAAATAAAATACTGTTTACGAAGTTATAAACCCATCTGCTACTTCAAGTTAGAATATAGAAATCTTGGAAAGATTTCAGTTAAAATTTCTATGAAATATGTAACGGAGAATCTCGGCTAGGCCGATTTCGTCCCTTTGGCTCTCGCAAATGTCCGCGCGCCGCGCCAAGCTGAAAGTGTGCGCGTGTGGCACGTACACTCATGCTTGGTTTTTGTTTTGAGGTGCTGTGTACGGGGTGAGCTGACGGCTGGAGCGATCGAGATGGCGTGAAAGAGGAAAAGAAAGAGAGATAGAGAGAGAGAGAGAGCTCTAGTTGCGGTTCATCGCGGAAAATTTAAAGAGAGTATCTGCTGGGCTTTAGCGGAGAAAAAGTCACGCGCGCGGATTTAAACCGAAGTTAACGGTTTTCCGGAATTGGCCCCGCGATCTCGTTAACGTTTCGTTTTCGGAGATACGCCTAGTGCACGGACGAGAATTAGAGTGTGTGGCTGAGTCGCGCCCAGCCGTGTCCTGAGTGATACCCGGCACCGGTGCATGTAGGTAACCGGCGAGATGCGCGGGGGCGTGCGTGAGCAGTCTTCGTCACTGCCGCAGTACCGAGCAACCGAAGGGTAGCGGGAACAACGGCAACAATCAGCGGAAGCAACAACAACAACAATTAACGAGCGAACAACAGATTGAGGCAGCAGTATTGATAGAGCGAACGAGAGGACGAGCGAGAGAACAAACAGTGACGACAATAACATCAGCGAGACGGTCAGCGAGAAGGAGCGCACCAGTGACGTCATACTGCAAAGCATTATAGCCGTCAGAGAGGTTGAAGGTCGAGGTCGGTGCCGTTTTTTCTCTTGTTTCTCTCTTTTGCATGTTTGGGCGCTAGCTGATGGGTGGTAGCGCGGCAGATCTGCTGGCTACCCCGTTGATGAAATAACGGCGGAAAGTGTTTGTCGGACATTTGCTGTAATAACTAGTTTTAAACAGGGAATCGGCAGGCTGACCAGCTACCGATTCATCTTCGCGTTCCCGTTTATTATTGTGCCGCTCGTAGTACGTAGGCGTAAAATCGCCGTCTTGTAGTCGATTGTTGACGATTAAAGGATTAGTGTTTTAATCCGGTGTTGTATTTATTCGCCGCTGTATCACTCCTCATCCCGACTTTGAATCTGTGCGTTTAACCCCTTAGCCTACACGATATCTACCAATTGCGCGAGCTATAATACGCAAGAAATTCGTTCGCGCGCCGTGTTTACCACGAGTCAGACTCGTTGTTTTCGCTTATGGCACAAATTCTTTACCACGAGTCAGACTCGTGGCTATAGGCTAAAGGGTTAACGTGGTTTTGCTCGACGCGTTATTCAGTCGTGGGAACGTCTTTTGCTTCTCGAATCCTCAAATAAATAATTTATGTGGACGGCCGCGAGCTACCCAGACGGGAACGGTCGCAAATTCTCCGTTACAAATATTATATAGGTTCTATGGTTACCAACAAACAAAATCATATAAAATGACCTACAGATATCATCAGTAAAAAAAGAAATTAAATAGTTTTACGCAAAATATAACACCAGATTATAAAACTACCAAATAAACCAAATAAACTCATCAGCAATCTTCTCAAGACAACGAAACTCAAGAATCATAAATTGATTAAAATATAGATAAACCAAAATCTATATAATGTTCAAACCAAAATCTATATAATATACAAATAATCAAAAAACATACACAGATACACTGACGATTACTCACTACAGATTACTTCTGCTGCATATCATATTAACTTATTATCATAGTAATTACATTTACTTATTATTAAAATTTAATAGATCAATTGTAAATTAAGTTTGAGTAATAAGAAAAATATTTTTGAAAATAATTTACGGTATCTATTCTGTTGTCACAGTAGAGACTCCAGCTTGTCGACTGAATTTGGTGAATTTGTACAAGAACGGTTGGCAGCACTGACACATGTCGATTCCCCTCTCTCGTGCATTTCCACCAAGCTAGTCAGTTCCTGGTTATAGCTTCTAGCGGAAGCATCGCATAAAAAATCACCCGTGATTTCTCTTCTTCATTCCAGCAAAAGACGCGAAAAAACGCATTGCATAACCTTTTCAGAAAGCAGCAGAGCAGAGCCTTCCATCGATAGCAGCAGAGCAGAACCTTCCATCGACAGTGGCAGAGCAGTCATCCAGTGTACCTTGTGTCATGAATACGTGAGTAGCGTGCCGTCATTTTTTGTGTGTGTCGTTTTTATGAGTGTGCAAAGTTTGTTGTACGTTCGATTTCTGTCTTTCTTGCGCGAATGTATTGTATGTACGTTTGTTGCGTCTCATCGGCTATTGCAGCCACGTGTGACGCAGTGTTGGCTATTGCAACCACATAAACTCAAGTCAACCTTCACCTGCGCAAGGCCAGAGTTGTCTCTTTGAGATAACTCAACTAAATTTACCGTGATTTCCATTGCAGTGCGTCCACGAACTTCCATGTGTGTTTGCATGCTCTGTGTTGGGAATGATCAATTTCTTGTTATTAAGCGATCGCGCCGTTTGCATAGTGAGTGAATATAGAGTGCATCCGCACTGTCGCAATGATCCGCTACATTGCTACATACATGTACGCGTCATTTGCTAACGTTGCCTTTCGTTTCTTTTCTATTATTTTCTCTGTCTTTGGTCAACAATAAACTAGATTTTTTATGCCATTTTCAGTTATGCGCATTTTTTTCTGTGAGCAAAGGCTCTGATTCTCGCACGATTTCTTGAAAATTGAACTACGTAGGCGAAAATTATTCCTGTATGTTGTCGGATTGTCGAACAGACAGACCTGATCAATAGCGCACGAGAATGGCTTACATCTGCACAGTTCAGCGTGCAAAAATCGAGAAAGTATGTTTATAGAACGTTTCTAAGACTTCCAAAGTACTCGTAATATGAATTCTAATACTTTACTAGACTACTACGTAACCATCCGTGCATGGGCTAGTTATATATGGATCTATAAGAGGCGCGCATTTTTAAAACAAAAATGAATAATTATGAGAAACACGTAAATCAATTAATATATACAGATTTTTAATTAAGTAGTTTTGATGTAAAATTAATAGTACTTAACATTACTTATTTGAGATTTACATTTATTATTTAAATTACGTGTTTTTCATAATTGTTCATTTTTGTTTTCAAAATACATGTCTCTTATCCCTATAAAACTAGCCTGTGCACAGATGGCTGCGCAGTAGTTTAGTCATGTTATACTCATTTGACAAATATCAGAATCATTCTGTAAAAACCCAAAGTAAAAATTTCTCTAATGCATAGTGCGATCCTTTATTGCTCCACGCAGTAATTAATTCAGTTGTACTTTCACGGTTACTAAAATAAAAATGTCTAGTTCCGAGAGTTGGTTAAGTGATACGTATGAAGTACCTGCAGAAATTGCAGAAGCTGTTCAACAATAGTTTTAAATTTATTACCAGATGCTCCAAAAGTACACACAAGTTTACAATAACTTTCAAAAGTAGCGATGATCTAAAAATATACATTTGTTTATGGAAAAGGTTTTCCTAGCATATATCGCAGAATTGAAGAAAATATTTGCACTGTTAACGTTGTGATCGGGTTAGTCAATATTGTTGCTATCAAGACGTACGATAATTTTGATTTTAAAAATTATATTAATTTAACAGCATTTTTGAACAAATTGAGTGTTGGTTTCGAAAGTAAAGAAGCTTAATTTTTCTGATAGACCGAAGTATTGATATGTCTATAATAAACAACAAATAATGACTATTTATCACACAAACTAAATATATAATTTTTAAGATATAATTTTTTTCAATAAATATCTTATTTACGTAAATATCAAATTTAAGTTTTTTAAAAATTCTTTAAAATTTTTAAAATATATGTTCTTTCATTTATTATAGACCGAAGGACTGCGCCAGTCTAATACCCTCTCCCTTTCCGGCTCACCTACCCACACGTATAATATACAGTTTAAAAAATATCGAATTTTTTGCACCTAGTACGAGCAACATATTGTAGAATAACAAGATTGAAAAATAAGAGCGTCTACACTTCAAATTCACATAACAATTATATGGCACTGCTTACATATTGATTTAAAAGAAGGAGGGAGCTTTAAGCTAATTGTGCAGTTTCTACAAGGTATTTTAGCAGAAACGTTTAGAATAAGAATACGTTACTAGACTTACCATCTATGTTGTCCGGTAATTTAATATTCTGTCCTTCAGTAATCGGTCCAATATGAAAGATCCATTGACCAGGTCGTTGTACATTGGACCATCTGTACTCATATAAAATTATTATTTTGAAACCTTTACGGATAAAATTTTTTTTCTTTTACTTTTATTAGCATAGAGTAAAATTGAGCAAAACCATTTATGTAATACATCTATTAATAATGTTAATCCAATAGCATTAATCATATAACATCAAGTAAGCAAATGTACGGCGTCGGTGAATCTAAGTTAAGCGTTATTGAAAGAATAACCATAAAACGTACTTGTCAATATTTTGAATTTGGTCAGTACCAGATCCCATGAGTGCGTATAATTGAGCACCTCCCATAATACCAGCTTGAGCTTTTGCATCCGGTAATCCATTTGGATGAGATTCTCCTTGAATCCACTGGATTCCATTGTCTGGATAAAGCAGTTCAGCATATGATTCATTACCGTTAGAGGAAATTGCAACTTGAAAAGAATTGATCTACAATTGTTTCATGCAATAGTAAAAATCATAAATTAGAAATGTCCAATGTGCTTTAGTATTCTAATGGAAATATAAATATTTTGTATTAGAACCTTATCTTTCTTTTCATGAAAATATCCCACGTCAAGCCACGTTGCAATAAATATATGTGTAGGCACAAAATTACTAGCGTTTTTAAAAGAGCTTCTCACAAGATTACTTGCTCGTGAAATTACGTCAGATGCATTAGTTTCTTCATAATATATACTCCCGGAAGCACGAATATCAACGTGCGTATACAAGGGAGCTATTACAGGATCATCCAGTGGAAATGGAATGTTGAAGAACCTACTCATCGGTCTCAAGAATGACAATACTCCATTCCCATTAATCTGAAATTAACATTATTATTACTTATTATCAATTGTTTTCTTGAACTCACAACAAAAAACTCGATCCTTCATTTAACACACATTCAGGAATTTTGCATATTTATTAAGGTAGGATTGCACTCAATATTGCAATGTGATTTTTCAAATATCGACTTGTACTCGGACTTATTAATTTTTTTTAATGAGTTGTAATTTGTTAAACTGATTTATTTTATATTTCTACTTTCTAAGATCGATATAAATATTTAAAGCGCGTAACACGCATTTATACAGTAAGCACTTAATACTTACGAATTGGAATTACATCGTAGGACATGTAACATTTAAGATACAGCGTTGGACCTCTAATGCCCTGGAGAATGCAACACTGGATCTTAAATGCTGGGAGTGCAATGTTGTATTTCTAACGTTGCGAGTCCTTACTAGTTATTTATGTGCGGTATGGAATGATATTTTTTAAGCGTAGAGCATTATGAGGCTGAAGCAACAAGCAACGCAAGTACAGACCACGGTGTTTAAAAATTTTTATAAACTTGGCGAAGACATATTTGATTTACATACAGATTGCACTTAATTGGTAAATATGTAGTGTATGGCGTGAAATATGGCATACATTATTGACAGCTCGAACCATTGTATTATCCTTTTTGCTAATATGTGATCCACGAGATAAGTTAATAACTCAGTTAAGGCACCGTTCCTATACAGTTGCATTCCACTGCATGTTAATTCAAATATTCTATCAAAACTTATCATTAAAAATACAAAATATAGTCATATAGGAGACAAAAAATAATATAAGGTTCATCATTTTTAACTCGACAGCTTAATCAGAAATTTACAAAAATATTTTGTAGTTCCAAAAACTGGTTTTTTCAGAATGTTTCAAAATATATCGTTACAATAAAAAATTGTTAAATAGGAAAAAATTACGCATTAAAAAGAACTATCAGTTGAAATATTGGCGTATTAACGTGCATTTCTTAATTTTTAAGATATATTTTTTTAATTGATAAAATATAAATTTTTTAGGACATGCTAACTTTTCATTTTCATTATGCTTTTATGTATTTATATCTTTTCATTATGCTAACAAACCTTAACTATTATTTGAGACACTCTTAGTACACAAAGAAATACTTCGTTAAAGAATTAAAACATATTTATTATTCATCAAGATATAACGATTTTTGCCAAAAAAGTGCTATAGCAAAATAGTCACGTTTAGGTGGGAGATCATCATCAGCCTATTTTGTTCATTAAGAATTGTTATTATTTATTAATAACCTTGATGAATTGTTAAGTAAAACTGTATTAATAATATAGATGCTGGTAGCGAATAATACAATAATTAAAGTATCACGTAATGCAGTACGTAAATATGCACTTAAATTTAAAACTAGAACTCTCTTAGATTGTTTAGATAATATACACTTTACGAGGTAAAAAGTAAGGTGAATTTTTATTTTTATGAAAAAATATTTATGTTGTCTCCTTCAAAGTAATCCCCCTCAGATATAATACACTTGTACCAACGATTTTTCCAATCCTCGAAGCACTTAAAAAAATCATTTTTTAAGTTCTTACAACGATTTTGTCTTTATCTCCTCAATCGTTCCAAACCTCCGTGCTTTCATGGGTTTCTTGAGTTTTAGGAACAGGAAAAAGTTGCAGGGGGCCATATCCGGTGAATATGGTGCCTGAGGCATGATTGTGGTTGTGTTTTTGGACAAAAAGTTCGACACAAGCAACGACAAGTGAGCTGGTGCATTATCGTGATGCAAAATCCATAAATTGTTTTCCCACAATTCCGGACATTTTTTTTGTATTGCTTCTCGCAAACGGTGCATAACTTCAAGGTAATACTCTTTATCGACCGCACGACCTTATGTTAAGAATTCCTGATGAACTATGCCACGGTAATTAAAGAAGACAGTGAGCAAAACCTTGACATTTGATCGAACTTGGCGTGCTATTTTCGGTCTTGGCTTTTCTGGATCCATTGGGACGATTGGGCTTTAATTTTGATGTCAAAACCATAAACCCATGATTCGTCATCAGTTATGATTCTTTTGAGCATATCAGGATTATTATTCACATCGTTTAACAGCTCTTGAGCTATGCTTTTTCGACGGTCCTTTTGTTCAAAATTAAGCAGTTTCGGAAAAAATTTTGCTGCTACATGTTTCATGCCCAAAACTTCGAAAAAAATTGCATGGCACGAGCCAACAGAGATGTCGACGTCTTCAGCCACTTCTCTAATAGTGATTCGACGATTTTTTAACACCATTTGTTTCACTTCTTCAACACATTCATCAGTTATTGAAGTGCTGGGACGTTCAGAGCGAGATTCGACGTCGGTGTCTTCTCGGCCATCTTGAAAGAGCTTATACCACTTTTAAACATTTTTTTGACGAAAAGTAGACTCACCGAATGACACTATCAACATTTCAAGGGTTTCGCAGCACTCAATTCTATTTTTTACACAAAATTTTATGCAAACTATTTGATTCATTGTTTTCGACAGCAGAAAATCGCCGAGCACAAAAAACACATCTAACGTTTCTGTCTCGCAAAAAAAAGTAAACATATAAACTGTGTAACGGGGGAGATAAATCTGAAAAATGAGAAATTTATTTAAGAACAAATTCCCACGATGCAGAGCAAACCGCCGCTCCGTTAAACACGTATGATAATACGTGTATTCGCCTTAACGTCAGATGATTTATCCTAGTTGTCTTCTATTAAACGGAGTTGAACTCACCTTAAGTCACGTGTCATGTGACACTCGACGAGTTTTAAGTGTGAGCGACTTTACTCCTAATCTTCTAAATCCCCTAGAGTTAATCAGATTAAAACCTAAGCCTTTTCCAATTACTTAAGCTACTAGGAAAGTCAAATGAAGTAGGCGGCGAATAAATTTAATAAACTTTAATTAACAAAAATTACTACAGTCTTTGTAGGGCCGAAAGACTAACGCTCGCGAATAGGATTTTACAATTAACTATTTTCCGTGAGAAAGAGAGAGAGAGAAGATTCGAATATTACCGCGAACTAACGCTCGGCGCGAATACAAAAAATAACAATATCACGAATATACAAAATATCGAAAGTATTTTGTATCGCTTAATATGACGGGAGGTGCACATACCATGCGGTTGCAATTACGGTGATCAGTAGTAATTGTTGTAAAAATTTCAACTGCCGCTGCCCCTCTATTATCAACTGCGCTGCCTCGATCTGCCTCAATATATCTTTGTTGCTGCTTCTGTACTGCTGCTATTATCTGTTACGAAAATGCCGTTGCACTCACGCACGTAATTGATCCCAAGAAAACTTTACTTTTGCGAAACAAAGTGCAAAACACAAAACGGCTGTAAACTCTCGTGAACAGCTGAAGCGAAACTGCCTATTCAAAATATCGCGCGCCCCCTCTCTCTCTTAACTATTAGAACTAACGCGCGAGAAGCAGAATCGCGAACGGTTCGATTAATTAAATCGACTACCTTTGCAACTGGCTGAAACTGTGAGCATATATGAGGGACATGTATACCAACATTATAAAAAAGAATATCGATGATCGAATCTATGTAGCCCGCCCAATTTAAAAATCCACCTTACTTTTTGAACACACCTCGTATAAATAAAAATACTGAATTTAATGTGAACGCCTATTTGCAACTTCCACTGAAATATCGACTAGTCGTATATTAGCCGTGGTCGCTTATCCTTTGGAATTTCTTGGCCGCGAAAAGAAAGCCATAAAAACCAGTGGAAAAAACCTAAATCCGGTCCTTTTTCTTCGGTAAAAATGCTAAGATTGTTTGTGTGCTTGTTACAATATTCAAACAAGAATTGTAATCACATATTATTGAAAACTTAAAATATCTAAAACTTCTTTTAAAAAATGTGCTTTTAATTTAAAATTACTGTTTTAATTTTCCTTGTTTGAAATTCATATGTACGACATCTTGTTACTCATATTTTTTCAAACGTTATAAAAAAAATTATTGTGACTATTTGCAGCCGAAATATATTTTTTTTATTTCTAAATATGTGTTTTATTTATTTTTGATATCACTAAGAAAAAAAGATAAAACCATGTAAAAAATTATTTTTTACCTAAACTGATGTAGCTCAATGTGATTACGTGTCCATCAATAAAACCGCAGTATTCCTATATTTTTTCCGCTGAATCTGAATCCGGTGTCCGTTTCATCGCAACATATCGGATTCAAAGGCATTTAAAGATCAAATTTATATATACTGCAAAAAATGAATTTTTGACTCCACATTCTGAAAAAACATTTTACGTTCATATATGTATTTTATTAATTTTTTTTAATGACTTCAAAGGTCATATAAAGGTCACTTTATGTTATTATCTAGAAATTTCATACACAATTGCAAAAATAGAAAATGTAGCCTCATAAAACTAGACTACTACATCAATCTGTTTAGGGAATCACTGAATCTGAATTCGTAGTTAGTTTAATGTTACAAGTTAGGTTTTCAGAGTATTATTTGAGGATCACACCGTAAAATAAATGTGTTAGTAGGAGAGTTTTGATTTTGTAATTGGAAAATATCTTAACCAGAAGGTTAAGATACCGTATACCTTGAGAGTCAAAATAGTAAGAGCTTGATAGTCATAATGTAAGTTATCATAGAACTCATGATTTTCTGCTTTTTCTTATTCTTTTGTTACATTATTTGTGTTATGAACTCCGCTTTTACTTCTTTTTGTTAAGAATATCTCTTTTCAACATCCAACAGAATTCTGCCATCATATTTATTATATCCCACCGACCTATTTGCTATTAACCTCATTGCTATTTTTTCTAATTTTACCGACAAATGTCCTCGAACTTCAGATGCTAAAATGAAACATACGCCGAATTCGGATTCAGTGATAAAAAAATACATAAAAATACTAATGTTTTATTGATGAATGTGAAACTTCACTTTATTTTTGGCATGTGTAATTAATAAATAATAAC